TCCCGCCAAAAGTCTTTCCAGTGCCTATGCGTGGGAACCAGGCGGACCTGACAATCCATTTTGAGGGTAGGAACCCGCACGTGCGCATAGATCAAGTTACCATAGTTTCAGCCATGTAGCTTTTGTGGGTCTCGCAACGAAAACTCGTTACAGATGCATACACAGACACACATACATACGTACATACACAGAGAGACAGACACACATAGGCAACCTCTTGACAGTATGCGTTTGTGCATTGCATAGCTGCAAAAAACATAAAAATTGTTTACGTGGTGTGCTCTCGACATTTCCCTTTGACGTCTTGTCAATGTGTCTCTGACCTCTTGCGTTCTCTGTTCGAGCCTGTAGAAAGGTCAAGGGTGTTTGCCTGATCGATAGTCCCATGCAAAAGTCGCCAGATATGCTGGTCATCCGCTGCCGCTAGGAAAATGACATCTTCAGCTGTCTCTTTTCCCTTCTTTTCAACGTTTTTCTGTTGCATATCTAAAATTTTTACTAAAACGGTAAATGTTGCATTCTCCACTGAGTTCACTATAATTTGGTTTTAATAACCCAAATTTGAGGAATGCAGCGACATCTAGTTGATGTGGTAAAAAATCGTTCGGCCACTGTGATTACAAATTTTTTTGTTAATCAGCATGCAACTCGAGACGAAGAAAAAGAACTGTTAATGATTTACGAAAAAAAAAGTGTGAGAAATATCAGGATCTAAACTGTATTTGAAAAAAAAAAAAAAAAACTGTAATCTGTAAAAAAAAAGCTGTAATGTTTAAGTAGGAAATTTGGCTTTTTTAAAATTTATAAATTTTTGAAATTTAAAAAAAATTTTTAAAATTTGCAGAGCATGTCTTGTCCAAAAAATTTTTAAAATTTTCTGAGCATGCTTTGTCCAAAAAATTTTTAAAATTAGCTGAGCATGCTTTATCCAGTTTATTGAGCCTTTCGATCCTGAGAACTATATGCCTCCAATTAAGAGCCATAGCTTGCTTGAAGTATTATGCGTTATTTTTTTCGGAAGCTGCCCGAGTGGTCGTTTACTTTCTCATTCGTATTATTCGCTTGATGTCCATCGGTTGCTAACAGAACTAAGTGATTCCACTTTACGGACGATATAGTCCTCACTGCGGGCAGTAGTCGTGAAAAAAATGAGATACTGCAAGAAGCTTAATTGCACCAAAGAAGCCGGAAATGAAAGACTGCGCCAAAAATGTTTAAATTTTCTAACACGCTTGTGCACATTTTTTATGTTAAATTATGATTTGGTAATGATAAGAAATGTATACGACTTAACGGACTGAAAAATTTCTTACTATTATAATATATTTTACAAGATTTTACAAGGTTTATCAATTTCTTAATGTCATTTGTTTTTGTCTTCTTCAATCTTTGAAAAATATTTTCCTATTGCAATATTAATTTTTGCATTCAAGTTGCTTTTCTTTGCGCACTTTTCCGGGTTTTTTTCCTAAGCCCCATTTTCTCGTTTTTCACCGCATCTAAGAAAAATACTACAGTTTCAGTAGCAATAATGTATAATACTTTCCCAAAATTAACTTTCGAATGCTTCCTTACTTTGCATAGCGTTCGCTCTTAATGTCGGTATAATGAATATTGCATTTCGCTCGTGGTTTGTATGGTTCGACCTATCAACAGCTCGAAAAAAATTTTTTTCAATCTCGCCCCACTTGGACCGTCCATTTTTCATTCGGCCATCTAATAGTCCTTATATTAGTTTAACACCTTTAGATTGTTACAATTGGGTAAGAAATTTTTGAACTTTATATTTTATACTGGCACTTTTGGTACTAAGGTCTTCACTGTCACCCGGGGTTTATCGTAACCCTGACATTCTTATTTGGAATGATCACTTCTTGATTGGCCCTCCATGATCCCTTCTTCCCTTTCTATTTCTCTGAATAACCTGTGTCGTGCGCTACTGCTCCTTAGCTCTCGAATCACATAAAAGACTTTTCTAGACCTCAGTACTCTTGGAAATGGCAAACAATCGTCAATACCGGCGCCAGTCGCGGAGACAAGGTTCCTTTTTTTGACGGTGATAAGCGTAATTACAACATTTTCACATGAAAGGCAATTTATAGTAATGCTTACACGTGTATTTTAAAAGTATATTTAAGAATTTTCTGTGCTTCTTTGAATGCTTATGTTTTGAATGAAATATAGCCTGAGATGAGCCGAAACAAAAAAGCTTAATATTTCTGTGCTTAGCTTGTGGCTGCATGGTTTTAATAGACTTAATGGATCGAAACATTTCTTACCATTAAAATGATTTTATTAATTTACAAATTTTGTAATTCTCATCTCTTACTTTCCTTTTTGCCTATCTCTTTTCATCCATTTTTAATATACCTTCTTATTTTTTTCAAAGAATGGGATAGCAGAAATTGTATTGTGAAACAAACTTAACTTTTAAGCGAATGCTGGAAGAGGAAGCAGGCGTGGAAGGACCGAAAGTTGGCGAGAAAGACGTCACACTACTCATACAAATGTCGAATCTTCAGTGTCGTTACAAATGGCGAACGATCAAGGATTTTCACGTGGCCGACCACGCAGACGAGGTACCTTTATTTTGGTTTTAAAAACGGTTATGTGCCTGCTTTGTAACTGAAATGTGCGCAAACTTCTTCAAGAGAACTTGAGACATAACAAACAAATGCATTTTGCGCCGATGAGCCAAGTTATAATACTTATTGTTTAACATGCACTTCTCTTTTAAGGAAATACTAGAAGACGGAGGCATGGAGGAATCGAAAATCGGCAGGGAAGGCGTCACACTCGTACAAAGTTTGATTTTACAATTTTTCCACAAATGCAGTAAGGAGAACAGGCAAAATCCGAGACTTTGTTGTAACACCTCTTTGTTATCACTCACCAAAAAAGGACTTTTTCAAGAGTTTTTTCTTTTTTCTGCAACAGCTCATCCGAACGATGCGCATAATTTATTCCGAAGCTAACTGTTTACTTTGGGTTATCGCAGATATGAATCTGTCTTTCAAGTCGTACTTTTTACGGGCAATGTCGCGGAAAATCCGCGAAAGGTCGGCCAAGAAGCCGCAACGAAGAAAAAAGAGCACGGAAGAAAGGTGTGTCTTGCCTTGAAAGGCAGATGCGCAGTAGATGTGCTGCCAGGCTGAACCTAAAGCATAAGGACCGGTGGTGTAGTGGTAACACATTACGCCCGCACGTGAGGGGGAATAGTTCGATTCCCTCCCGGCCCAAGTCAATTTTTGAGAAAGGGTTTCGTTCGCGACAGGCAGTGGCCGTTTCAGAAAAGCGCAAATGAAATCATTAGCGAGATGCTGATTGATACAAATTGTTTTTAGAATGCGGTAAATCGAAGGGCTAGTTCCAAAAGCTCCAGAATGGAGCACTGTGATGATGATGCGCTGGCTTGATTATAGCGACAACCATATCCGTTATTATCGAAAGCTTATCAATTTATGGTCATTATTACTATTTTAGTGCTGACGTGTGCAGTGTAGAACAAAGCACAGCTCCTGTGGAACAGGGGCCTATCAATCAGGAATCGATGGTTGAAGAAAGCGATGTTCCCGGATACGCGTATGATCCCCAAACTGGGCGATACTTTCGAGTGCAGCCAGAAATTAGTGGTCCGGTAAACTTTTCCTCAAATTTCTTATCGTTGAAATTTTTAGTTATTGCTTTTAGAACTAGGAAAAGTTGTAGTAAATGTTTGGAATACCTGGAGTAGAGTTGTTCATTTCCCGCCTTTTTCTAGCCATGCAGCTGGCAATTTTTCCAGTTGTTTTTAGTCCATGCTGTATAACGGTAAGTACAGCCTACATGCGAACCTAACTGCTTCTCGGTCGTAACTTTAATTTATAAAACGAGCTAGTTTTAATTTCTTTATTTTTCCGGGTTTTTAAGAACTGAGCAAGGCAAGAAGGCTGAAAATCTGGAATGAGAGTTAAAATGTCGCTGCAGTCTTTTTATCACATGTTATATCAAATAATGATTTATGGCTTTTTGTTAGAAATAGGGTGAGGAACAATTGCGCCACTTTGATGTAATACCTCGCTTCCCGGTTCAACCTTTGGACACCCTGTCCCATTAAAGTTTTGTAATCTCAGCGATCTCTGACCCTTTGGGTATAAAAGCACTTCTCCCCATCCCTTGGGATCTAGAACTATTTCTAGCTACTCGAGAAAGCTACTCCTTTCGATTTGTCCCTGTTCTGGAGATTGGAAAGCAACAGTTTTTGTTTTAGGCATTCGCAGGATTTCGAGCAAGTGATTTTCGACAAGCCGAACTTAAAAAGAGTCGTCTTATGGCGATTCGTGCAAATACCTCGTTCAAACCCCATCCCTCGACATCTCTACCAGAATTGTTACATCAGCGAGAACTAGGCGCACGCAAGTCGCCATATTATTACTCCCGAAAAATCCCCGAATCGATAATAAGTGGTATTAGAAAAGAGCCCAGCTATGTTATTACGGTATTTTGCTTCGTTTCTTCAGTTCTGAACAATTTTATTTGTTTGTTTTTTCGGCACAATTTAGCATCTCCCAATTCCCCTCTCCTCCCATTCGCATTAGTTATTCCACATGAAATGTTAAACTCGAATCTTCCTATTCCATTCTATCCATTTAGCATTTTTCGATTGATTTCCAACACGTATCCGGCAAAATTTAAGCCATTTCGACTTGTTCTGTCTTCCGTTAACTCTCTGTTTTTTTTTTTTTTTTTTTTTGCATTTTTGCATAAATTTTTTGGCTTCACTTATCATGGTAAGTGTATGTTGGCTACAGTATCTTGAAAATGCTACTGTAGCAAAACTGCTTGTTTAAGAATCAAACACCTTGGGGAAGCCAATGCTATTGCTTAAATGCCGATCCTAAATCTAGAACATTATGTGGTTGTTGGAGTG